TATATATATATATATATTATACTACACACACATACTATATATATATATATATATATATATATATATATATATATATATATATCTGTAATTCCCTTAAGTATGCACGTATATACCTTTGTACCAAAATTGATACCCATCTATGTATGTTGCCATACTATCACCACCCTCATACCATCAACATGAAAGCAAAAATGGATATTGTCGCCTGAACAGCACAACGGAACAAAGATAATGCATGCATGTACATAAGGTAGTATGAGTACATGTTGATCTGCTAAATGTTATTAAAGAATCTCTGTTTATTTTGGCGTTCATTCCATCATATCGTCACCGTCATGCACTTCCTTCAGACTCAGTAGTTCCAGGGTGCCCTTTCCTTTCGTCTCCTTGCTCACTGTGTCTACTATGTCTCTGTACTTGCCGGGCAGTATTAATCCGATCTGCAATGCAACAGCGTGTAAGTGTATGAGTTTCAGTCTGTGTGCCTAAGCCGTATACAATGCAAAATAACAATCCACCAACTGACTGACTTCTCTAGATTGTGACACAATCACGACTGATAAATGCCTAAGACACATGTGGCGATATAGTACGACGCTACGTGGTACAGGTTCGATACCACAGACAGTGCGCAAACAGAATAGTGTGAAGTAAACTCAGCTTCCATGAATGGACCCTACCCACCACTTCGTATTCTCCATTGTCCCAGTTCTCCTCTTGTACTTCTTTGATGTGTGCAACGACCTGATGTTTGCGAGGATTATATGTTGTCGTAAGAATGGGCTAGGTCAGTAACTGCATGAGGTTGGAATCAAAAGTTTGCTCAGAAAGGCAAGGATAGAAATGAGAGACTAACTTAGGGTTATTAGTATATGCAACATTTGTGAATCGACTTATTTAGGTTCCGCCGACCAAAAGTTAGACAAAATGCAGCTATAATTGAACATGGGCTGTGTAGCAAATTAGCCAGAACGGATCGAAATAGTCGTGGGTGCGAGTACTTTAGTGAGTGCAAAGTGTACGGTGTATATGCATACGTTTAAAACACGTAGTGCATGCGTAGTATTGATCACAGAACTTCTTCCAGAGCATTGGTGACTGTAGTGGAAGGCATGAAGCGTAGGCTGTAGTAGCAGGCAGTTTACTGTCGCCATTAGCAATCAGAAGCAACCTCGCCCGCTTTTACCACACACGTCCAACAGTTGTAACATTATATAGTTTCCATACACCGATCTGATGCAAATGAGAGGTCCTAGGATGCTGTGCGTATAGTGACCATGGGCAGGCGTCTGAAAGGTGTGTACTCTACGGTATATGTGACAAGCGCAGGATTGGGCGGGCCCATCTCTTCCTCAAACTGTCTCGTTAAAGATAGTAAGAAGCACAGGAGAGATACCAAGTGCGGCCATAATCATCATATAGACACCAACAGACAGCCGAGAACTTCGTGTTCGTACAACCCTTGGAGCTACATACATACATGTCCGCAGATGCAATTGACAGTGCTGAGCACCCTAACACCTCACTTACCGAAGGTTTCGCCGCCTTAGCCACGCTCTGCGGTAAACACACCCGCACTCGCATCTGAGCCCTTTCTATTTGCATGCTTTCTTTGAGTAAGGTGATGACATCGAGAGCCTGTGATGCCCCCGCCCACAGACAAGGTTAGATTCAGGTATGTGTCAATTGATAGCCACGAACAGGAATGTACACGGAGGATCCGTTAGGATGCAGACGGGTACAACAGACAATGATGACACATTTCCCGTTCTAGCGAACAGGCGAGTATGTATAGTTCATCAGACACATCCACAAGCAGAGACGGATTCTCAGCCACATCCACAAGCAGAAACTAATTCTCAAACACATCCTCAAGCAGAGACTAATTCTCAAACATATCCACAAGCAGAGACTAATTCTCAAACACATTCTCAAGCAGAGACTAATTCGCCGCAGGAATTAAGTATGTGGAATTGAACTAGTGCACTAGAGCAAAGCTGTCAGTATTGTGGATCATGCAAGTTGCTCGTACATGTGTGCTGAGTCCGTAAACCACACCCGAACCAGTAATAGGGGCGCTACATCTAGCTACACAATAGAAACTTTAGCGAGAGGTATCACAGACAATCCCGCTCCTGACCCCCATTCAAGCTTAATGCGCACACTCTTGTCCCCATAAATCACCAATTCGCCTCTACAAGTGTAGTGTAGACTATAGTACATATCAGATAGTGCATATTAGAAACGCACCTGTTGTTTTACGTTGCGATTGGGCTTGACCGAGAAGTGTGCGTCCTTCATAGCGGTTTGGATTACGGTATACGGATACGGCCTATTGGTCTCTGGGTTGACACACATCTCTGCCACGGTGGTAGCGATCTCCAAGTACTCGTTTTCTAGGTTGTGTGCGCGCTCGTGGTTGCTGACCTGCAGCTGGCCCTTGTCCAAAATCTGTTGAAGATATCGAGTAACGATTGAGTTATGAAGAAATCGAATAACATCAAGTGACATACCGATTCGCCATGAAGGCAAACGAGGGTCTGTACGTGCGGCCGTGTAGTGCACTCTGGTATGCCGGTACATAGTCTAGCACTGAAGAGCGGGTTTGTTGCTTCGACATACAGATGGTT